ATTCCATTCCATTCCATTCCATTCCATTCCATTGTTATGCTAATTCTTGCAATTAAATAGTGTCGACTCCAGGTGGTCCTCGACTTACAACAGTTCTTTTAGTGACCATTCGAAGTTACAATGGCACTGAAAACAGTGACCTCTGCCCGTTTGTCACACTTACGACCATTACGGCGTTCCCGTGATCAAAATTCAGATGCTTGGCAACTGACTCATACTTATGACAGTTGCAGCATCCCAAGGTCACACGATCCCCTTTTGCAACCTTCTGACACGCCAAGTCAATGGGGAAAGCCAGATTCACTGAACAACCGTGTGGCTAACTTCACTTAACAGCGATTCACTTTACAACGGAGTCAAGAAAGGTCGTAAACTCAGGCAAAACCCCACTTAACAAATATCTCACTTAGCGACAGAAATCTTGGGCTCAATTGTGGTCGTACGTTGAGGAATACCTGTATATTTGCCACAAATAAGAAGGGCACAGCTAAGGAGTAGATTGCAATGTAAAGATCACTTCCCAATTTTTAGTTAAAGAAAATAAGCAGCTCTGTATGAGCCATTGAGACATGATGGATGGGGAGCTTCAAACCATAAGGCATCATGAAGTATATTTCTCATTATTAAATGAAATATTGTTTAATTTGCTGCGAACTCTTGAGGCTGTCTGTTTACCTCCTCGTTCCTTAAGGTAGCCACGCTGGATTCCTGCAAAATGAGATTTACTGGCTTATTTAAATAATACGCAAAAATGAGACACTCTCCTTTTTTGTGGCCAGTCCTCCCTCTCTCTCTCTCTCTCTTTTCGATTTATTTAGGCCGCTACCCAGGCATGGCGAACTGACACAATTAAACAGAATTGCTGAAATATTTATCATGATCTCAATTTTATTTAAGACCCCTAGAAGGTCACCTTTAAACACCGGGTGAGCTTCAAATTGGAAATATTGCAGTAGCCACCAGTTGGTGCCAGATCTTTTAAATGCACCGGAGTTGGACATGACTCAGTGGCAGCCAAATAATTAAAATATTTAGCAATCCCAGGGATGCAGCTGGCAAGGAAATCCCTGTTGAGTTTTGAGGCCTTCGGTTGGTAGTTCAATTACCCTCTGGCCGGAGCAGTAACGCTCCTAAGGATTGTTAAAATTGAATCGACTGCGATTGCAGAAAAATTTAGAATAATACCAAAGGGGTATTCTTCGAAATCAGTTTCTTCTGTGAAGGCTTTGGCTGAATCCCTTAGCCTCGACTTCGTTTTGCTGAATGCAGAATCTTTGTTCACCCCATCCTTTCCTCATTTCTGTGTTCACCCCTTTCATCTTCCTGCTTTTTTAAGACGAAGAAAGAAGGATTGTCTTCTTTTATTAGAAAGAAATATGTCAGGCCGTTTGATGAGGCTGCCATTTGAATTTGATCTAGGTAAATCTTATATGAAGTCCCTGACTTATAACAGATCGTTTAGTTACCGTTGAAATTTACAACGGCACTGAAAAAAGTGATTGATGACATTTGTCACACTTTTCCCCCCGTGGTCATGTAATCCAAATCCAAATTATTGGCAAACTGACTCATATTTATGACGGTTGCATTGATCCAATTTTAGAATAGAATGACGGACCTAGAAGGGATCTTGAAGGTCTTCTAGTCCAGTGGTCGCCAACCAGTGGGCCGCGAGAAAATTTTGGTGGGCCGCAGAGAAATGTCACCCCCAAAGCACCCCCCAAAGCAATTAATCCAGGTTGCACAGAAACACAAGGCTGCGCAGCCCACATGGCCTGTGGGAACCCTCCCCACCCACTCACTCCTTACCGGGCAAACCTGCCTGCTAAGTTGCTATTTTTCCTTTTTCCGACCATCATCTGTTCTGCTGTGCCGGGAGATTTAGATTAGCTAGGAAGCAGGAAATGGTTGGATTTCTTGCTTTCTAGCTAGTCTTTACATCTTCAGCTCTGCTTTTAAACACAGCCGAACCTCCTTAGGACTGAAGGTTCTATTATTCAGTGCAGACTCAAGGCAAGCAAATTTTATGTGACAGACTGAGCGAGCCGATGGCAGACAGATAGATCTCTGAATGATTCTGTGAGCAACTCAATCTGCCTGTCTGCTTTGATTTGATTTTGGTTAAAAGTTACTCTTTTTTGATAAAAAATTCAATATTTACATACATGGTGTGTTGTGAGTTAATTTTGTGAGTTTGCTTGCTAGCAAATTTTATGAGCTTGCTTGCAAGCAAATTTTATGTGACAGGTTGAGCTAGCCAATGGCAGATAGATAGATCTCTGAATGAATCTGTGATTCTGTGAGCAACTCAATCTGCCTGCCTGCCTGCTTTGCCTGATTTTGGATAAAAGTTGCTCTTTTTTATAAAAAATTCAATATTTATATAAATATTTATAATATTTACAAACAAGCCATGCCCAGCCAGTCACATGACCACCAAGCAATGCCCACAAATTAGGCCACGCCCACAGAACCGGTTAGTGGTCCCTGGGATTTAAAATTATGAGTTTGGTGGTCCCTGAGGTCCAAAAGGTTGGCGACCCCTGTATCTAGTCCAACCCCCTGCTTAGGCAGGCAACCCTACACCACTTCGGACAAATGGTTATCCAATCTCTTCTTAAAAACTTCCAGTGTTGGAGCGTTTACAACTTCAATTTTGTGATTTTCTGACAAGCCAAGTCATGGGGGAAGCCAGATTCACTAAACCACTGTCTTACTAACTTAAACAACCACCGTGATTCACTCAATAACCGTGGCAAGAAAGGTCATGAAATGAGGTAGACCTCACTTAACCAACATCTCACTTAGCAACAGAAATCTTGGGGCTCAGTTGTGGTCGTAACTTGAGGACTACCTGCATTTTACCTGTAATGTCTTTCGCAAATAGCTAAATCAACTTTTATTTTTTGTTCAAAGGTGTCGGCCGTAGAATCCCTGGAAGGACCCCTCCTTCAGGTAGAAGGATTAAGTGACCTGAGGCTGGAACTTCACAGTAAAAAGATGAACATGCATTTAGTTCTCATAGATGAACTCCACCGTCATCTTTACATCAAGTCTACCAGTAAGGTTGGACAGCGGAACAAAGAAAAGGGGAGAATAAGGTCGGTCTCATTTATTTATTCATTCATTTAGCCACTCATCTTGCAATTGCGACTCTGTTAATGCAGGAAAACGGGGTGCTCATATCTAGCAAATGTGTGCAGTGGCAGACAAAAAAGCCAGTACAATCCCTAGCTGCATTAACAGAGGGATACAATGAAGATCAAGGGAGACACTAATACCACTCTATAAAGCCTTAGTAAGGCCACACCTAGAGTACTGCATCCAGTTTTGGTCACCACACTATAAAAAAGATGTTGAGACTCTGGAAAGAGTTCAGAGAAGAGCAACCAGGAGGATTAGGGGACTGGAGACTAAAACATATGAAGAACGGTTGCAGGAACTAGGCCTGGCTAGTCTAGGGAAGAGAAGGACCAGGGGAGACATAAGAGCAGTCTTCCAATATTTGAGGGGCTGCCACAGAGAGGAGGAAGGGGTCAAGCTGTTTTCCAAAGCACCTGAATGCCGGACAAGGAATAATGGATGGAAACTGATCAAGGAGAGATTCAACCTGGAAAAAAGGAGAAATTTTCTGATAGTGAGAACAAACAACCAATTGAACAGAAGTTCCCTTTGGAAGTTGTGGGAGCTTCATCCCTGGAAGCTTTTAAGAAGAGGCTGGACTTCCATCTTTCAGAAATGGTGTAGGGTCTCCTGCTTGGGCGGAGGGTTGGGCTAGATGACCCACAGGGTCCCTTCCAACTCTGTTAATCTGACTTTAATCTGACTTTAATGAACAAAAGGACCAGAGGAGACATAATAGGAGTCTTCCAATATTTGAGGGGCTGCCACAGAGAGGAAGGGGTCAAGCTAAATGGTGTAGGGTCTCCTGCTTGGGCAAGGGGTTGGACTAGATGACCTGCAAGATCCCTTCCAACTCTGTTAATCTGGAAAAAAAACGGAAATTTGGACAGAGTTTGTATAAATAGCAATAGCACTTAGACTTATATACCGCTTTATAGTGCTTTACAGCCCTTTCTAAGCGGTTTACAGAGTCAGCTTCTTGCCCCCAACAATCTGGATCCTCATTTTACCCATCTTGGAAGGATGGAAGGCTGAGTCCACCTTGAGCCTGGTGGGATTCGATCTGGCAAATAAACCAACTATATAAATGGGACATACCATTTTTCACTCTTATGGCAGCCCGGCGCGTGGTGTGGGGAGGGATATTTTTGTGCGAGGGGCAGCTGCATGCACAGTTTTATTTGTGTGAGTGGCGTGTGCGTATGCTCACAGGGCCTGGTTGCGAATAAGCCACAGCCCACAGTTTGGGGACACCTTGTATAAACCAATTCAACCTTGGAAAAAAGCATTCATCATTCTAGGGGACAAATAAACGATCATTATTTTCCCTTTCCCTTTCAAGTGCCCACGTAGGATGGCATTTTGCGTTGTTTTGATGGTGATCGTTTGATGGCTGGCCATGTACTGTTTGCAGTTTTTGGATACAAAAGCCTTCTAGATTTTCATTTTTTGAGACCGTTTCAAGGTTATCAAACCGTACAGTCAACAATGTTGTGGTATCGTGAGCTGCAAATATTCAATTCTTCAGGAAAGTTGGAAGGGATGGGTGTCTTCCCAAACCAAAGTTAAAACAGTATATATAAAATCATATTAAAGCTACCAAGCTAAACAGTTTAAAATGTTAAAAATAAAAGCGAAGCTTTGCCGGTACTTCGTCCTTACATAATTCCCTCAGGGATGTCGAGATCTGTTATAGAAACTTCAATCTTCTCATTTACATTTCTGCCATTTATGAGTGCCTGCCGGAGTTCTCTCCTAGCTCGCAGCGGTTAAGTTTAATTTCTTTTCATTGCAGTTCTCATGTGAAGGATGCCTCTGCTTTGCCTCATCTCGACGTTACTAACTTATCCACTCCTCGCAAGTTTGACTCCTCTCAATTTAGCACTACAGGAAATCCCAGCGGTGAGTGATGAAATTATATATTTCCATGTGCATGTAGGTGCCTTTCAAATCTATTTTCTAAAGCGCCTGTAGGGCCAGACAAGGAATAATGGCTGGAAACTGAACAAGGAGAGATTTAACCTGGAAATAAGGAGAAATTTCCTTACAGTGAGAACAATCAACCCGTGGAACAGAAGTTGCCCTTGGAAGTCGTAGGACCTTCATCACTTGAGACTTTCAAGAAGAGATTGGACTGCCATTTGTCAGAAATGGTGTAGGGTCTCCCGCTTGGGCGGGGGGTTGGACTAGATGACCTACAAGGTCCCTTCCAACTCTGATTATCTGTTTGATCTGTCTGCTTGACCTATTTGGAGATTACTTCTGCAAGAGAAAGCTTTGAATTCAGATATGACTTCAGCTGAAATAAATGTGAGGAAAACTGTGTGTGTTTAGGTGTGAGAAGGAAAGAGATGGTGTGCAGACACACATAGATTAGTTTTGCACAGCTAATCATTCTTACAGGGTTCTCCTTAGTCTGGATTTGCAACAAGAACCAACGTCGTGTCTATCAGAATTTCAGCCCATTATTGATCACAGATTTGTTTGTTTCTTTATGGAGTTTGGATCTGTAAGCCATCAAATCTTAACAAGACTTTAAAAGAATACAAATACACAACAAAAATTTAAAAGCCACAGTGAGAACCATAAGACGCATCACCCTCCTTTTCAAAGAATAATCCAATATAAAGAATAAAACTAACTAATACGCATAATTCCATGTGATACGCAGAAAGGACTGAAATGAGCAGAAACCTAGTTTTCCTTACATGTTCATCTTCCTCATTAGGCTGAACAGCTTCTGAGTAGAATGTGGCCTTTTGTAGATATGTACAGTTGAAATTTGTTCATAGAATTGTACATTTGGAAATCTGTCGATTGCAGAGCTACTTTATAACACAGCTAGACATTTATTTGAATAACTTTTATTTTATTATTTTATTCAATACTAAATTTTAATACTATAAACTTTCACACGGAATTGGAATTATATTGAAATATGAACCATTGAAATTTAATATTATTACCGTATAAAATCTAAATGTTACATTTTGTTCAGGTTTATCTTAAATTTATTTTAAAACTCAAGGCAGCAAACATATCTAATATTCCTTCCTCCTCCTATTTCCCCCCCACAACAACAACAACCCTGTGAGGTGGGGTTGGGCCAGGGACGGGCTGCTATCGGAGTCTCGGGGAGGGCGAAAAACGGGCCTCTCGGAGGCTCCGGAAGGCCAGAAATGGGCCCGTTTCTGGCCTCCAGAGCCCGGGGAAGCCATTTTCTCCCTCCTGAAGGCTCAAGGAAAGCCTCCGGA